ATATGTCACCACACACAGACCACAAGGAGAAGAAACAGCAATGGATGGAAGATCTACATGTATTTATCTTCTGAATGAAACTAACTGATGTGGTCACCCTGTGGTACGGCAAGGAAATATACAAAGCATTGCTGACATCATACACTGCGTCAGCATAACTCGATTCTCTTTTTCAGTCATCCGGAAGTTTATTAGAATAGGGGAAACCAATATTAATCACATGCCACAATCTTCTTAAACAATACATATATTGTTAGCAGGCCAAGAGGATCAAATACTACATCTAGGAAGCCACTTGTCTCTGGAAAGTACCAGTTACCAATGTTGATCACTGCTCAACTTCATAATACCATTCCAATTTTGAGGGCAATGACAAACTGTTCTTATTTATCTATATTAGGGGTTTTTTTTTTTTATAGGGTAATGTTTTTAAAATGGAATAAAGGTCAGTCTTTAAGGAGAACTATGGGGTTAGGGCTTTTCCCCATAGTTCTCCTTAGGGTAATGGGAGGACACAAACTAGCGTCCTCCCGTCACCCTAGGTTCAGTATACCGTGAGCTGTAGCTCGCAGTATACTGAAACACCGCAAGTTGCTGCTCGCGGTATACTAAGACGCCGCAGCTGAAGCGGATCCCGACAATTATGTCTGGATCCGCCCAGCTGCGTGAGTGACAGCTGGCTTTGCCTATCTAGAGGCAGTGCCAGCTGTACCCGCCCCCTCCCCCATCCGTTCAGCCAGTCAGCGCTGGCGGATCGGGGAGGGGGGAATCCAGCCCCTCCCCTGTCACGGCAGAGAGCAGTGACAGGATCGAGAGGTGAGCGAACGCCGGTATGTGTTTGCTCACCTCACAATCTACTGAGCCGACCTGTGACAGTCTCATTGTCACAGGTCGGCTAGAACTATGAGGTGAGTGAAAAGCACTCACCTCATAGTTCTCCTTTAAAACTAACGTTTTTAAAATATGCTGGAGAGTTTAAAAGTATGTAAATCCTTGCAATAAACTTCTCCATTCTCTGTATTGGTCTCTTAAAGCCCAATTGAAGCTTCTGTATGTATTACTGTCATACAATCAGATGCATATACAGTAATTAATATGTTTGGGGTTTTTTTTCTTTCTATGTGCTGCAGCAAGGGTGAAAATACTCTGTGAATGCAGCATGCTGGACACCTGGACCGCCATCACAGTGCTCCAATCAACAGCCCGTTCTTAAAGTGACACTAAACGCAGAAGTTGAACTTTAAGAATGCATTTAAAGTACCTTAACTATTTAAAAAAATGTTTCCTTATTTGTGTATCACTCGGCTGTAGATCATCAAATCATCTCTGAATTGGTGCCGACACTGTCCTTCCTTCTGGAGGGGGGCTACTTTTGTTCTCCATGGTCACTGTGTGTGTTGCAAAGTAGCAGCCGCTCCAATCTCACTCCCATGATACGCTACAATCTCAATACAAATTAGTAACCTAATCATGAGATTGTAGTCCATCGGGAGTGAGCTTGGAGCGGTGACTACTTTACAACACACAGTGTCAATGGAGAACAAAAGTAGCCCCCCTCCAGAAGCCAGGACAGTGTCGGCACCAATTCAGAGATGATTCGAGGATCTACAGACGAGTGATACACAAATAAGATACATTGTTGTTAATACTTTAGGTACTTCAATGCATTCTTAAAGGGGTTCTAACCCCTCCGTTTTTTTGCCTTTATCTTCTGCTATCAAGCAGTAGATATAGGCAAACAGTTTTAAGAAAAAAAAACCTGCTTTAACAGCGGTTTACACTTACCTTGTTTTCGCTGTGCGCTCCTGCCCGAGAAAACGAAACTGTTCGGGCGGCCGCAAAGCATCTTGGGGCGGGTGCATGGGCAGTTCGGATTCTCGGCCGGGAGACGAGCAGAGACGCAAGGTAAGTCTATGGACGCGTGCACCCGCATGCAGACACCGTGGGATCAGAAGTGCCTGCAAGCAGAGAGGAGTCAGCGCTGGATCGGAGAGCCGCCGCAACGCTGGAGGGACAGATGAAAACATCAGGGAAGAAGAAGATCGGTTTAAGAGACATCATTTAAGGTACCGTAAGTGCTGACATTAACATTGGGGGGAGGGACATTTTTTTTATCCTTTAATGTCACTTTAAGGTTCAACTCCTGAGTTTAGTGTCACTTTAATGGTAATGGTGTGTTAATTATAGATTTTGATAAATAAATATTAAATCATTATCTAACAATGTGTTTAGTGACATGGTTTGTTATTTGTTCTTTACACAAACCTACAGGCATATTCAGAGCTACCATAAACATACACAAATCATTTGTTATTTGGGTCACATATTTTTTGTTTTCACACCATATAAATTTAGAGCTAATGTGAATAGCAACTAATCAGGTATCACCTTTCATTTTATAGAACATTTAAGCAAGAATTCTGTTTGGCAACAACTCTAAGATGGTGCTCCTTTTCCTTACTTGGGTAAGGGAGGTTATAAAACAGAGACTAGTGAGCACCTCCTTGACTAGTGAGCACCTCCTTTTTTTGTTCTCTCTGTTTTATAACCTCCCTTACCCAAGTAAGGAAAAGGAGCACCATCTTAGAGTTGTTGCCAAACAGAATTCTTGCTTAAATGTTCCACCCATAGAGGAATTGGTGTCAATAGGATCTAGGTGGGTAGAATTGTTAACTAAGGCTGATTCCAATCCAGGGACAGTACATCAGAACAATATGTTTACAATCCACACATACAATAGAAGTAGGGACCTGCACCACAGCTGATAACAATCCAGTGTATTATCTAGTTAGTCACATTTAACTGGACTTATTCAGAAATGTTGATGTTGTTTTGCTATTCATACAAGTAGCTCCCTCAGCTCTAGTGAGTGTAAGGAATATATTTTGCAGGTGTTCCAGTCGTTTTCTCATTTTCTTATACCGGATTCTGGGTATAAACCTCAAATTTCCTTCCAGTATGTTTGTGAAGGTTCTCATTTATCCTGTTCATTGTATAGCCAGTAGTAGTTGGTGAAGTTCGACTGGATTTGTTTGTAATGTTGTGGATGTTTCCCCACTCAACGGAGTAACTTCCTCAGCTCCAATGAGCCAGATAAATGTATAACTCTAAGTGATGGACTTTTAATTCTTGGAGGTGAGCAGGAACACCACCACACTTCCAAATGGTAACAATGTTGGTAACTATAGAATGTATCACTGACGATACAGAAGGATACTAAGGCTCCAAACCACACTGGGGCGGCTCTCCAGGCGTATTCGGCTGGATGAATACACGCAGAGCCGCTCCAAACAGAAAAATCAATGCACCTCAATGTGTATTGTTCAGACTATTGCGGAGACCCCAAAATAGTGCAAGCGTCATAATCCGGTGGATTCCGCACGTGCACGGCTATATAATGGCCACAAATTAGTGGAATCCGTGCAGTTGTTTCACATATAGCGTTTGTGTCCAACACGCTCTTCTGCACGGAAAACGCAAACGCTATAGGTGAATGGAGCCTTAGTCCACCAGATTCCACTGATGTTTGAAATACAATTTTTGAGAGGATTTTGCCTTTAGACCACACAAGGATTCCACATACATGTACCTACAAGAGTCTTTGGCGGATGACAAATGCAACCACCATCCCTAATGAAGGATCAATACCAAGCTGTGCACATAAATACTATACTTATGTGGCAAAAGCAGTACATAGGAATTGTAACTCGACACAAATAAAAATGACTGTGGATATACGTTCTAGATCATTTTTCATGGTTTTAATTATTCATAACCCATCCAAGAGAAAAAACAACAGAATTCACGCATTACAAATCTAAAATAAGAGAAGAGTGTACATGAAGTATTATTTAAATGCAATACTGTATTGAAAACATTGTTTCTGCTTGAAAATCAGAATCTGCTTACAGTAGATAATTCAGTTTTCGCAAACAGAGTTTCTGCAGAGGTTGGTAGGGGGGGGGGGGGTTCCTTGAGCAATTAACAACTTCTGCCTCCCAGCTAAGCAACCATTACCACCAAGAAGCATCACTAGTTTAAGGAGCACCACAAATCTAAGGAGCATTGTTCCCACTGACCACTATGCTAATGTCCCATGAGCCGTGGGTATTGTATTTATTAGCAGGGGTTACCCCGAAACCTGAAAGTTATTTCAAGGGGATGTCTCAGGATTTAAATGGTTGAGATAGCTTGGTCTAGGTAATATGATATTAAATGTGTATTAAATATACAGAAAAACACACATTACTTAGTCTTAAACCAGTCCTGATTGTTACTAGAGTAAATAATTAGTAGAACAATCTACTATGGATTGAATGGAGTAAAAAAAAAAGGGTTACGGCTTCTTTTTCCCCTCATGTGTGTCCCACTGGGTAGAAAGTCCATGGTCCCATCGCACTCCTGACCGCAAAATCCCTTTGAAAAAGTGGGTCAGTCCCAGGGACTATGGTTTCTTGGACAGATAAAGAGGCTAAATATCTCCCAACAGGGACACAGATAGCAATAAAAGGCCTGACAGGGTTGTTATGTTTTCCCTTCTAATAAAAATGTTGGCTTTAGATAAAATTTAAGACAACATCATGTCTGGCATATGGCTATAACATGTGCCTCATGAGGCCCTAGTGCAGAAACCATGACCACCCCTGAAATAGGAAGAGTCCTTTATTAGGATTATACTAAGATCTCACAGCCTGATTGTCTTTTTAGTTCCTGTATCACAGATACATGAAAAAGAATGACTTGTGTCCCCAAAAAGAGTGAGTACAACCTTGGCTATTTGAATTTCCTTATCTACTATTCTGACATGAGAAGTCAATAAACAGCTGCAAAGCTTATGGTTCTGTACAGGTGAAATTCACACTTGATCACATGTATCTGTGGTCCTATATACCTATATATAGGTAGTTCTTAAATAGCATTGCACAAGCAGCTGTGGCATTCTGTAGCCTATGATACTGCAACAGAATGGAGCTTATAGGAGCGTAACATGACCAGATGAATGAAAGCTGGTTTCTAATCGGTTGCTATGGGTTACTGCACACCATTATTCATGTCAATAAAAAAAAGCCCAACATATAATAATCTTATCGTGCCTTGATATAAGATGTAGGATCTTTAGAAGACGTTGTGTTGTCATTTGCAGACTCCTGACACGGCTCTTCTTCTGAAGAAGAGACAACCACTGTCGTATTTTTGCTGGCCTTTTTCTGCCTCTGCGAAATGGCATCACAGACTGCCACCACTTCGTCGCTTTCAAAGTCATAGTCAGGGATCGATTCAATGCAGGAATCTCTTCCATTACTGTGTAGGTCCTCTCCTTTTACCTCTCTCTTCTGCTGTAGAAGCTGCCGGGCCCAATTCAGATCTTCTTCCCATAATTCTGTGTTTGAGGGACAAAGGTGAACAGCAACCTGGAAGCTCCGTATGGCCTACAGAAAGAAAAAAAGATACTTTAATTTTTTGAAAAATAAATCTGTCCAACATCAGAGAGCTGTAGAGTTTGGCAGAACATTAACAAGATAATGAGATTAGACCATGAGAAATGGAGTAAATTCTCTGGAGCCTTGTACTAGTACGGCCGGCCTGACCATAATGGTGAGAACACGGCTGAGCTTAAGTAAGCATAGTGTGCACATGGGTTCCTGTACGCATTTGGAGAGAAATGTGGTGCGAAGGCTAATAACTCGCACAACAGTGTATACCTTATTATTATTCTTAAATTCTTACCTTATTATTATTCTCAAAGCTCAGACCTTTGTGGCCCCAATCCACTCTCCATTTTTAGCATCTCCACTTAAATTTTAATGCTACTCCTTCTTCCAGTGTTAAAAAAAAAAAATCAATCTGAAGTCTCAGTGACATCAGTCAGTCAATGGCCACAAGTTCACTTCTGTGTGGCAGCTGGGATCTGCAGGGCATGTGTGGGTGGACTATGGGGATGGTATGGAGAAAGATGTGCAGTTGAGAACAAAACTGGAGGATGGTGGGAATTGATGGGGCTGGGCGGGCAGAGCCTTTGACACCCAGCATAGGCATTAAAACTGGTTTAGCCAGCGCTGGCTTGCTAACTTCAAAACTGCCTAATCTGAAACTATGTTTCGGTAGGTATTTTGGAGACTGGTGACTAAGTGCACAGAGCGAAGATGGAAGATAGGTCTACTCAACAGGTAGCACTGGGATCCAAATGCTGGCTATTAATAATGATGGCAAAACTTGGGAACAGCAAATCTACAATCCAAGGACACAAACTGTTAAGGTGAGAGATTCACCACAAAAGACACATTTGTTTTTTTACCGGGAGAAGAGCTTTAAAGGTGGACTTGCACATACTTGGTAAAAACATAATAATCAGCGGTCTCACGGCAAGACCAATATCTTCCAAAAGGTAACCTTTTAGGGCTTAATATCATCAGGTAACCTTTTAGGGCTTAATATCATTTTATCAAAATAACCAAAAATAATTATAACTTTAAATGGTAGCCCGGGCCATAGCTGCCATTTTGGGGAGAAAGGCTGTACAGCTTTGAGAAGGATGGCACAGTGAAGATCACTGGAGTAGGGCCAAGGGATTATATCCTAGTATGATGAGGAGTGTGAGAATTAAAGGATAATTGTTCAAAAGTACAGTTGTCCTTTAAAGTCTACACAGACTGCAGTTATCTAAACAAATTGTACCCTGACTTCTGTAATATCTATATAGTTTGTTCAGTGCTCCCATATTGTCATCTATGTACATAAAGAAGCTGTCTTTATTGTTTGAACAAAAATAAATGTTTAAACAAACCTGTATCATCTGTCAGGCCTGGTGACTGGCCATTTAGCCACTACACCCTGCACTGTGAGATGATAGGAAGCCTTTTACACATACCTAGAAGGGATGGCGCTAATGAACAGGAGTGGGGAACATGAATTAAGACACCTAAGGATGCCTGCGATTACTATTTTTCAACACAGGTTCATTTTGAGAATATTGAAATCAAATGAGGCTTCAAGAGTCAAGAGTCCAACAGACTTCTGGTGAAATAATGTTTAGTGTCATGGCTCTTCTTTTCATTAAGGAAGGTGTTTGCATAATACATGCTGAATGTCTAACACAGAAAGGGAGGAGAGAAAAGTGGCAAAACATCTTAAAGATCTGCGTACACAGGATTTTGTTCCCATCAGATCTTCTTCTCTTTCCATACAAGTCAATGGGAATGTGAAAGCAGCTTAAAACAACTTAGAAATGAATCTTGGATATCGATTATAGAAAAAAATATTTTGGACTCCAAAACCATTGACGTGGTGCTCTTGTTCTTTCATGTTTTCTGGATTCAATCTGAGACACCAGAAAAGGCCACTTGTTTGCACACTGCCATCGTTCTCTGTAGTAGGAGACCCTACTCCTTCATACCCATATCTAAATAAACTTTATGATTCCTGTCTAAATGGACCCTGTATGTATGCATGTGAGATAGGGACCATAGATTGTAAGCTCCTCGAGGGTGTTTGGTCATGTGTTTAGATGAAGCACTGAGATCTTGAGGAATGCTGAATTAAGTTTTACTTGCTTAGAAGAATATTACATTAGAATACAGCATTGTGCAGGAAACATATAGATAGAAAAAAAACAGCTTCCTCTGTATCATAGATAAGCATGCACACAGAGAGACTAACATTGCACTAAAGAGCCATCTACAGCTCAAAAGACATAACAGTATATCAGTACATTAGAATGTCAGTAATACAATCATTACATAACAGCATATGCTGTTGCATTTCCAACAGAGGGCAGGGACTGATGTGAATGTGCAACTATGTAAAGCGCTGCGTAAATTGTTGGTGCTATACAAATACCTGTAATAAATAAATAACACAAAGCTAGGGAAATTCCTCTCTTAGTGGTCACCAGAATGGACCAAGATTACCCCTCACCTCCTGTTTGGGGACAGCTATACCTTTTTGTATTATCCATCACTTTCTGTCTTGGTAATAATGGGGTCTCCAGGACAAATAGAGAAGGTGAATCTACCCAGTAGAGACAGCAATAAAAATAGACAGAAGGTTGAACCCTTTAGTCATCTAAGTTTTGAAAATGCACACATTCCCAAATTGAATAAATATTTTCTATTCATAAGACAAATACTTACTCAGAGATAATGAATTTAATATAACCAACATCCCTGATATTTCAACATAGGGCGGGTTGTTTTCTTTTTAAACAAAAATTAATTGAGGTTATTTCAGGTTTAGAAATTACCCCATTATTCAGATTCATTCCTGGGTTATGTAAACCTCCTCCCACTCACACACCTGCAAAGCAAATACTGATGGAAAAATCAAAGTATAATATGCATTAGATGCCATGACCTTAGTAAACAATAGCTTGGATCAGTCGCACCCCTCTAGAAGTAGTTCATGTAATGTGCCAGTGAACGCTGTCATCCCGCTTGGTTCAGACGTACCATCAGTGAACTGATATTTTCAAAACAATGCTTGGCCACAGTCACTTATTGTTAGAGCAGTCTGGGCATGTATAGACCTCGCACTGATGACATGTCACAGAGCTACAAAGCAGACATCATCCATCCTATTACCGTCAACTATTGTTTAGTATCCCTTTCATTTACGCGCTCCGGGGTAGAAATAATGCAGAACACAGTGAGTTCAGAGGAGAAGCTGTATGTTTTGGAACAGAAACTCAAATGCCAAGGCTGCAATGACAGCATAACGCTGAGAAGAGCCAAGTTAATTATGTGCAGATTCATGGAGTTAACAATTTCACAGTACTTTACTGTACACTGACCACAGGCATCTGTCCTTTCCCCCTAGGAGCTTACAACGTAATACCCCCATAGCAGTCATACAGGCCCACTAAGAATTTACGTGTAAGCCAATTAACCTACTAGTAACTACTAGTTCTTTTTTGAGGAAACCCATGCAAACACATGGAGGACATACAAACGTTCTGTGTATGAACATACAAACCCTGTGTTGCCAACTATCTGAAAATCTACATTTCGTAAAAATAGTACCGACTGTGCCTATCCATGATGTCTGACATTAAAATCAGCCACAATGTGGCTTTTGTTGCGAGAAAACTCTCAACACTATCTAGCCAAACAGTTGGAGGCTCCAATCACCTGAAAACCTCAAATGAAGTCACACATTTCTGACAATGACCAAGATTTTCTTACACCCTTTCTGCCCCCAGGCATCATCTAAAATTTGCTAGTAGAGTTATGTGCAGCAAATGAAACAGGCATATGAGCCAACAGTCTCAGAGTGATCCTGATGTAGCCCAGTAGTGACAATTGTGCTGTAGCAAGGGTAACCAAACTTCAGCCCACCAGTTGTGGTGAAACCCCCTCAGGTATCTGCCTCTGGAAGTCATGTCTGTGGCTGCCAAAGTCTTGCAATGCCTAATGCAATTTGCAGTTTCACCACAGCTGGAGGGCCTATGCTTGGCCACCCCTGTGCTATAGAATGAAAAGCTCCAAAATACTCTATAGGGACTTTCCACTCTCACAGACTGACAGTCCTCTGTTAGCTGGACAGCCAGGCAGATGTCACCACACTAGGATACCTGGAAGGTGGAGCCATGGGGTTGGTCATGACTCTAAAGTGGAGAAAAATTGCAGCAGGCAGTGAGCCAGCCCACTCATTAAACAGAAACAGGAACCATGCCGCACTCCTTACCGGGATTCCCACTTGATGAAGATGGGTGCACCGCCACACATGAACAATGGAAAAATGTTACCAGCACACCATAAGTTGAAAAAGCAAAATGTTTTATTGCCAATAGCTGTATCTCATTGGCAAGTGCATTCGGGGCCTCGCAGGGTCCCCTTCTCTAAGCCTGATGAAGGGGACCCTGCGAGGTCCCGAAAGTGCTTGCCAATGAGATACAGCTATTGGCAATAAAACATTTTGCTTTTTCAACTTATGGTGTGCTGGTGACATTTTTCCATAGCCCACTCATTAAAACCCGTCCTTGCCTATGCACCAATATGTACAAATATTATTAAGGACACATGCATTTGAATGTATAGGAAGGACTTTTAAATTGTCTCTTGCAAGGGAAAACTTTTCAAAATAGCATCATTGATGTCCTCATCCTAATGTCTTGAAGATATCAGGATAAAAATATTAATGCAGTGCATACTGCTGTGTCTCTTGCGAAAAAATTATAGTAATACAGAAAAATTGAACTGAATGCATTGATATGTACTTAAATAGCTGTATGACTTTGTATGTCTTTGTTATTGTCCCTGAGAGGATTGGAACCCAAAATCTACAGCACTAAAGGCCTGCTCCAATCCAGCCTATTTAAAGGACACAAATGTTTCTTAAATGCTGTAGAAAAAGGAGAGCAATCAGATGCACCTACCCACCAATCTGTGTACTTCCTGTGGATGAATGAAAGAATGATTAGTGATGGCTTCCTATG